GTTAGTGGGTCTTCTAAATCCAAAAAAAAGCCTTTTACATTGGCTACCCTGCTCTTCTCTGATGAATCTCCACTTGAATTCCAGAATAAAATAAACAACACAACTGATGCCCTACATAGTTGGCTGAGCAACAACTCACTATTTCTTAACACATCAAACACGAGTTTTACTACTTTCCATACCAGACAAAACACCAATGTACCTCTCTTAGACTTGAACATCTGTGGCACACCTCTTGAAGACAGTACATCCTCCAAGTTCTTAGGTATCATAATCGACAATGATCTCAGCTTCAAATCACATTGCAAAAATCTAACTAGCGCTCTACACTCCAAATGTTTCCAAATTAGAATCTTGAAAAGTGTTCTAGACACACCTAGTTTACTCCTGTTTTATCACGCTCAGGTTCAATCAAGAATCTGCTACGCAATCACAATATGGGGAAACTCTCCAGCAGCGAAAGATGTATTCATCGCACAAAAGCGAATAATACGTTCTCTTGCTGACTTCATTTCGAGATATTTTCAAGAAACTTGAAATTCTCCCACTTCCTGGTCTTTATATTTTAGAAGTTTCAACATGCATCCACGCGAATAAAAAATTATTTTCCACGAATAATCAACACCACAATCACAACACGAGAAGAAAAAACGACTTCCATTTACCAAATCCACATCTCACCATCTGCCAAAAATCACTGAACGTGATAGGACTGAGATTATACAATGTACTTCCCAGTGAGCTCAAAGTAATTGAACAAGCGCATTTTTTCAGAAAAAAAAACCGAACGTTTTTTACTGGGTATTACTCCATACAACCTTCACGAATACTTTGAACATTTTTGATGTATGATTTTCAATAATTTTATTTCATTGTTATGAAGAATATTTTAAGTGTTGAAAAGGAATATTCTCAGATAAATTATGGACATACAAAAATGGATATATATTAATATGAAGCAATACATTGAGAATTCGCATTCTCTATGTGATGAGAATATCTACTCTTTTTCAGTTCATTCAATAGAAAACAACTACTTTCCTGGCTATATGCCACGACGAACATTGAATTATATCTATTGAACACACACGATGAGAGTTTGAAAATAAAATATAAAAAACTTCTGAAATTGAGAATTTGCATTCTCCTTCAGACAAAAATATGTATATGCAAACATCATTCTGAATATTCAACAGAAAACAACTACTTTCCTGGCTATTTGCCACGTCGAACATTGAATTATATCTGATGAATGTCAATTTATCATACACCCAAAAGCAAGAATATTTTACCTGAAATTCATCATCGATAATTATTATTGTTCAGGTATTTTCTCTTTTTCTTTTAATCTACATTCCTATTGTTTGTTAACTTTTAAGAAACATTTTATTTATACATGACTTTGTGCTGAACTGTCCTAATATAGCTTTATAAGCTCGTATTTGGATCAATAAAACTATCTATCTATCTATCTATAGGCAGAAGTCTGTCCACTATCTTCTCTATCTGGTATTCCATTCTCTAAAGCGAATATAAGAAGTTTCCTAATATTTTCCTGGTAAGAAAACTCTCATTATCGTCATATTCGTTCATTCTTTTATATGGACTAAAAAGATTTCTTCCCTGGTGCCCGATGAAGTGGGGTAAAGGTTTACAGAAAAGCCTGTTTTTTTAAGAGTGACCCTGAAGCATTTTGCCACAAGAACTATAGGTTTTGATGGTCGTTTCAAGCAGTGCCATCAGTAACAACCTAACAGTACTAAAGTAGATTGAGACTACAAAGAATAGTAGTGTGAAAAACTCAAGAAACACCCTTTTATAGATAGCCATACAAAATAGAAAATATTAGCACAACAAAGAAAATATTGGCACCTCCGTAATCAGTATACATTCTTTGTTGTGTATTTATCAACATACTTTCAATATTTTAGGTCTCACCTCTTTTTAGTTTGGCTATTTATGAAAGGGTGTTTCTTTAGTCTTTAGTTTCTTACACTATACTCTTTATTTTTTATTTTTTAGTTCGCCTATCTGGAAAAGCATTTTTTCAAGTGTTCATATATTTTTTGTGAATACCCAATTTTGACGAAGGAATCATAATTTATGACCCTGAAACCCCCCATATACCAATTTTGAATAGAATCGGATCATATAATTACAAAACTACTTCGCCATATTGGATCCGCCATCTTGATTTTACCAATTCAGACGAAAGAATCATAATGTCCTACCCCAAAAAACCTCCAGATACCGATTTTGACTAGAATCGGATCATAATTACGAAACTCGTCCGCCATTTTGGAGCCGCCATATTGTTTTTTCGTTTAGCAACAATTTCATGATGCATTGCCACCATGTACACCTGCCAAAGTTCAATTCAATCGGTCCGTATATAGCTATAGCTATAGTTTGCATTTAGAGCATTTTGAAATAGCTTGGCTCACCATTTTCCTGCCTTTCAATATATTCACAATTTTCCTCAAACTTTGAAAAAACTCGGATCAAATATACTTGTGGAAGTTATCTAAAACTGTATTTTTATTATTATTTTGTTGTGACATCTCTCATGGTTACCCAAAAGAATAATAAACTAACGAACAATAGACGCAGTGAAATGAATTCAAATATACAAATTCCAACAATTATGTTTTGAGAGAAAATGTGAAAGGTTTCTTTATACTGTTGGACATCATTGGCGGATTAAGACATTTCGTAGACTGAGCCGCAATACACTGACTATACAAGAGTCACAATATATTCCAGCGCCCACTTCAACATTAAGACAGGAAACAATTCCTTGAGAATTTCAAAATTTAATGAAAACATCCAATTCTTGTCGAATGAGCATTTATTTTTCATTTCAACTAATTTTGTCAAGAAGTGAACTTGTCATACATCATTGCATTCAAAAATGAAACTCGAACAGAAAAAATAATCAAAACCATATGGTGCCGTTTGAAAAGAAAAAGTTGACAGTTGCTGGGGTAACAGTTGAAATTTTGAAAAATAATGGTCAGAACCTATTCATAATATCTGATAAGCAATTTCATTTGCTTTTTTGGTTTTCAAAATGTGATAATTAATAGCGATAAATATCTTCTGGATTGGTTCAACTACAACTTCATTCTCATTGGTTCCAGTTTTTCCCTCTTCTGATCTCAATGTCAATAAAAAACGAGAATTGCTTCACAATCTGTTTACAGGAAGTTTATTCCTAATATATTTGTCATTCAACCTAGGAATGAAGTCTGAAAGGAAAAATTCTAGATTGATAATTGAATGCACTAAATACTGGTGAGATGGGGGATTCGAGAGCAAGAATAAATCATATTCTGGCAAAGGCAACCCAGCATGGTGCAGAGATGAACCGAGTCATGGCGAATTCATAGTTGGCAGAGGAGTTACGAGGGTCGAATCTAGCGTCTCTAAAGATAATTTCTGTTACAAATTCCATCCTCTTGTGAATATTTTAATGGCTGCACCCATTTACAGCTTCCACTATTCTCGAAGAGTTATTTCCTTCCTGGGACGTATGAGAGTATAATTGATTACTCTCTGTTGTACCAGCTGCATGACTTCAGAATCATCAGTGGAGGGGGTATCATGATTCAGGAGAAATGAAAACATTCATGACATGTATACAATTTTCAAATTTAGCATTCGCGATTTTCTCTCTTTTACTGCTGATTGACAGATCGCCGGAAATTTCAAAACTTTATATACCGAGTTAGTATGAAATCCTCCATGAGATCCAAATCTAGAATGGGAATTATACATGCATAGAAAGTTAACATCCAGAAACTAATAACTGTTGATGAAATATCACCTGGAAACTCTGGAAAGTACCTATACCTATTGTTTTAATGATTTATGACATGATTATAATAAAGAGATCTGTCTCACGATCAAGATAAGTAAGTAAGTAACTAAGTAAGTGAGCAAGTAACATCTGAGATATCTTCCTTGAATTTTTGAATAGAATGTGAAAGATTAACAAAACTGCTGCTCCATTTCTCCAACAATAAATGAACGTGGTTGATGCCCGAAAGAATGTGATGTAGAACATCTTTCATTCCAGCAACAAATCCAAATTCGATATATACAGTAATCTACACATTGCTTTCACATATAAAATGTGAGACATATCAATTATTTGAGAAATGAGTGTAAAAACTAATGAAGTATAATTTTGCTGATAGCAACAACCATATCTTTGTCGCTTATAAGGCTACTATCACACACTATGCGTCTGATTCATTTATATTTTGAAGTTTTGATATAATTCAAGAACCCTTAACGTATATAAAGAAATGTACTTCCCGAATTTGTATCGAATTTACCCATTCACCCATTATATATACAAGGTGTCCCGAAAAGATACCGACAAACTTCAAGGGGTGATAAAGGCCTTTAAATAAGCATTTTTGTTTATTTAAACATATGTCCGCGAATGAGCCGTTTGGGTTGTAGAGCAAAATAACTGTTTGGTATACTCATTATACTGCGCAATAATTAAATCACTGTTCATTTGTTAATTTGGCCATATTAAAAAATAAATCATGGTTTAAAATAATTGTTCGAAATGTTGACAACTGACTTCGATGCAAAGATTTATGAAATGTTAAAATCGATAGACAACTATATGGATTAATATTAAAACGGCAACTAATCACAAATTATAAATTTCACGACAATCCCAAGGTAGACATTTTCGAAACGTTCATGATAAACAAATGCAGCTGGTTGCCAACTAAATGAAGAACCGAGTGAAAAACTTCTTTAATTATTTGCATATGACTTGAAAAGTTTTTCTGCTCTACAGCCCAAACGGCTCATTTGCCGAAATATGTTTATAAAAACAAAAATGCCTGTGTTGTTGTCCCCTATCACCCTTTGAAGTTTGTCGGTATCTTTTTCGGACACCCTGTATATGCAACAGGTTTGGCAATAAATTCGAATGTATCTTTTGGAATTCAAAACTCGAAATTTCTTGATTGCAGGTGTTATGTTGAATAATCACAGCCCCCCATCTAGCACTCCATTGGAACCTTGTCGAGTAGTACCCTACATGAATGTGCCTGCTCTAAGAGGTCTCTCACTAACCTCCGGATCCGTGGCCCTCACCAACTACGAAAGGCTATCTGCTGTCCCATTCACACAACAAGGAACTGCTTTCTCAGCCATAAACTCAGCTTTTATATCTGCAGCCCACCAGGTAATTCACATTTCAACAAAAACAGATAAGAACCTATGTAAATGTCATTTTGGATGAAAAAGAGGTAAACATTGAAGCCTGCGCGTTTGTCGATTCAATATTATCTAGAAGCACTCTAATGAAATGGTTCACAACACTTCCTAGTATTGTTTTGTAAAACAGTTGAATTGTCGAAAAATATGCATACCTATATACAAATAAGTTTGTTTGAGCATTATTTGATTTAGTCCCACCCTGTATTATACACTTCTAAATGAAACTTCGGAATAATTTCATGTTCACCGCATTGGGCATGGGAAATTTAGTTCTTGTACCAAATTGCATCATTTTATCACTTGGCGTTTCGGAAATATTCAAGAAATATCATCTTCATGAGCCCCCTTTCAAGGGGCCGTAGCTCCCTTAGGAGAAATTTTTTGACTCATGTTCATTGGGAACTTTTCTTCCTATTTTTGGTCGTAGCAGCCGCTGGTGGAGTTTGGCAGGCTGATTTTGGGACACCCTGTATATACATAATTATTATGTATGTACAGAGTGCGCGTGCGCCTCTTAAAATGAAACCTCCCCTAACTCTTTTGTTTTCAGAGATGTGGAAAAACGTTGAATTGAAAAGTTGTTTGAAACCACCCAAACTTTTATTTCGTGCATTTGCTTCATATACAGGGTCATTCGTTTTTCCGGAAAGGACAATTGCATTACCTCGTAATTGGACATTAACTTTGATTTTTCAATGGCACACCCGTTATATTTTCTGACATGTCGATAGAGCCTTCTTTCTGATTTCAAAAATATATATGAGATGCATATTCGGGAGAAAAATAATTGAGTTATCGATTATCAAAGTTTACCAAATTACCGGATCTTCCATTGAAACTGTCTATTCATATTTTTTTGAATTGAGATTGAACGATTTCAATTTAAGGATAAACAATACTATGAAATTTCCATGGGGGTTGAACAATATATGAACGTTATTTTAAAGCCTATATTCAACTTAAATTTTGATCATCAATAATTCAACTATTTTTCATTCAAATATGCAACTCATATATATTTTTGGAATCAGAAAAAAAGGCTCTATCGACATGTCGTGAATTATATAAGGTGTTCCATTGAAAAAATCAAAGTTCATGTTTTTTCTGGACAAACGAATGACCCTGTATATGAAACAACTTCACGAAATAAAAGTTTGGGTCGTTTGACACAATGTGTTTATTCTACATTTTTTCATATCTCTGAAAACGAAAGAGTTAAGGGGGAATTCCATTTTAAGAGGCGTACCCTGTATACTTTCATCTATTTTTTCATTCACTGTTACGGTCCACAGTTATCCTTTATTCCTATGATATATTCATTATATTCCAGTATGCTGCAGCAGCAGTGGCAGTAGGAGGCGGTTCAGCAGCAGCAGCTGCTGCCAGTATCTTGTGCCATCCGCAGTACCCACTAGAATTCGCAGCCTTAGCAGTAGCACACAAAAACTCCAGTATCGCTGACCTGAGGCTCAAAGCGAAAAAACACACGGAAGCACTAGGTTTGATCCCACGAGAGAAACAACTTTAATTCCACCCCTCTCCAGTTATTCAAGGTTGTTGGTTGTGAAAAGCGCATGGTAAAACAAGGACGAATGTGTAAGCCCTTTCTACAAATAGGTATTCCCAAGCAAAGCTGATGATGGTCAGTAGACAAACGAATCCTCGTCTTTAGGATTTCAACCCATGTAGGCATAGTATGAGAAATGAAGGCAGAAGAATAGCTAAACATATTGAAAAGTCAAAACTTCACGAAAATGGTCTAATAGTTAGTGTGGTGAAGTCCGGACTACTATTTATCAAATTTCAACAGCCCCAAAACTTCATCAAAATCGCTCGTCTGGAAACGTTCCTGCTCAAGGCGCAAAAGGATCCACAGTGTCACAGTGTCTTAATGACATCGACCCAGGGCACTTGGTGTTCGGAAACCTGAGTAAGAGTGAATGAGATATATGATAACTCCTAGATGCGCACGCTCCATGGGACCCTTCAGTTCAATCTTGTAAATGGGTGAGCTATTGCCTTATGGCATTAGCGGTCTAAACAGTAGTATATGTCGGTGGTGTGGTGTTGTGTTTCGGAGGTATTATTAGGTGTTTTCGGAAACCTACTCTGGGTTGTTAACTCGATCCAGAGAGATCACGTGACAAAAAACTCGGATCACCTACTCGTGTTCAACGTTTTCGAACGTGCCAGGTTAGGGACACTGAATTTGATCTTTTTTCTATGGTTTCGTGAATTTGATAGACGAAAATGTTCACATTCTAATTACTCATTTGATATGGTTACAAATATTTATATTTACCTGGTGATTGGTGAACTTGTCTCATAAGTTGTCGCATATTACTTTCTTAGCTCACTAAACCACAAACTTCACACCTACCCAAATTCTCTTCTTTATGCATTACTAAATCAAATTATGGAGATCAAAAAGAAAATTTATATCACCCATAGAAATTTTTCCCAACTTGCAAACTATTTTATTATTATATTGTTGTCGTGGTGTGGTAAACTCCTGCTTTTTTCTATTGACACAAATTTTGTATAAATTAGTAATGCGCATGCGGTGTCCTTTGCGAGTCAGTGATCGCAACACTCAAGTTTCCGAATCCGAACAGAGGTAGGTGACTCGGTTTAGGTTAACCGAACGTTCAGGTTAGGGATCCGGTCAACCCGAGTGAGTTTCCGAAAACGCCTCTTGCTGAGATGGTGTCATTTTCTTTCAACCGATGAAGAATTGCTGATAGGTGTTTATTTGTTATTAATAAGTACTCTGATAAGCTTTGGTTGAGCGATACACACGCAGATTACTCTGATTTAGTGACAAATGCACCCGCATCGTCTGTGTCCACATTTGTCCAGGAACAAATCGTGTCAATTCAATCACATATCCTAATTTCGAAAACAAAGTCCTAATCATTCGTCAGTTGAGAAGAAAGTAGGTGAGCTCACCCTTGTGCCGCATGCTATAATTTATTTATGATATTCATTGTTTGTAATATATTTTTAGTAGATCTTATAAATTTGTGAAGTAACTAAACAAAATTGAACATGGCAGTTACCTTACATTCCCTGTGAAAACAAATTCAACACAAATTGAAACTTCCATTAGCTTATTCTGAGCAGTGAGAGAACGAATTGGCCAGGGCGATCGAGAACCCCAACCGACCCTCTGGTCCCTCTGTAATTTTTCGTGCTTTTCCAAAATTAATGGTGCGTAAAACACTCCAAGGCATCAGAAATTTGATTTATTTTTAGAGGCGTGACTTTTTGTTCACATTGAATTTTTTTTTTATAAAATATGTGAACAAATTCCATCAAAATTCAGTAGGTAATTGTGACAGTTTATACGATTTTGGGGAATAAAAAAGCGTAATTTATGAGTAAAAATAAACTACGAGTTGGTTTCTTCGTTTCAAAATGGCTAATCCTATATTTTTGACAATATATTTCATGTTTTTTTCAATTATCTATCAACTTGTGCGATATATATCTTGAATTTAGGAGCTGGAATCAACGAGGCAAAACATATATGTCATTCATATACTATGAACAAAGAATATTTCATCGTTGAGGTAGGAAAAAATTTGCACTAGTTTGTACTGTTTTTCAAACCTTTGATCTCGTTTTTCTTGACTTCAAATCAGGCAGAACTTTTGACATAATTGGATGATAATCTAGATAACTTTATTGGAGCTTGCTAGTTATGACAACTATTTGATTATCTTCAGATTTTTTGTTTTCATCATCGTAATATCAAATATTCAATTTGGCCGATTTGGGGCGAAAGTTCAAAAATGTGTCCAGAGATTATGTTTTATCTGCGAAATTTCCCAATATTGAATTCGATTTAATGAATATAATTTGAATGGGAAGGACTGACCTTCAACTTTGCTCCTCTAATATCAAATGTAAATGAACTTGAATAGGGTAAAATATGGCGGGGGCGGAAAAATTTCTTTAGCGATGGTGTTGAACCCCCTAACCCGATGACCCGATAGATCGATTTGCTCCAGATTAAGAAGGACACATAGTGAACTGCGTACTTTATATTTATATTTTTATATTATATTTTTAACTTTATAGCAACAGTGCGAAGGTAAATTTGAAACGAATCAAAATGTAATGTTATCAAGGAAAAAAACAATTCAGTCTAGAAGTAGATTATTTTTCACCAAAAATTATCAGTGACCTGTTAATAGGAGTAACGAATCAGTGAGCACATGTGAGTCTCGTGTGAGGCACCACTGCGATATACCAAGGAACAATCAGGTCTAGATCCATAAAACTGGAATTTTGGAAAAGCATTAGGATGAAATATTGGAAAACATCAGTGTTGCGTGGTGTGGATATCATTTGAAGGAGAAAAGGAATTGTCGGATTCTCATCGTTACCTTCTTTATAATCCGTTTAATAAGGTATAGCAATTTTCGATATCTTTGTACTTATATCTGCTGGATTATTTTCCCTCAAAAAGTCACAAGCGAAAGCAAAAACACTACAAAGTAAGAGCGTTCTGTGTGTCATTTATTTTTATGAAAGCTTAATCTTTCGACTTGTTCATTCTCAATAATTGAATTTGTGATTTGTTCCAAAATATATTTCTGCACGGTATGGTACTTACACTACTAGGCTCTTAGTACCTAGTCTGTACTGGGTGAACGAAATTCAGCTTCATTATACGAAAATGATAGAAAATACTGAAAAGCGATTCTTGAATGGTATCAATTGAAGTTAAGTTTTGGTAAAATTCGCATGATTTTTCGTATTTGGAGTCGGTTCATTCTCATATGTACATTTAAGAATATTTCATATATAATATGAGTAAATTTTTTTTCGAAGGTTCTATAGGTACTCGTCTAAAACGTGACGATTGCGAATTTTAGATGGAATATATGTACAAATTTGCTAATATAGGTCAGTTTCTATAAATAAAAAAATTTGATGACGTCATTAAGTAGGTACTGCAGATTCCAAATATGGTGAAATATGCAAATATAGGATGAAATGTACCATACTTTGTTCCCTTCAAAAACCTCATCCGTATTGTTTCAATCGTCTCCTTTGCTCATAATGGAGCTGAGACATCGAATCTTGCTCACCCTGTACATTTTGAAGAATTGTAAATAGGTTTCGTGGATCTATCTCAATGACGAAATTTTTCTAAACCTGTTTTATATGTTATAGTATGATACTGAAGTATGGAATAAATTCGGTATTTCTGTTGTATACCGCGAACACTCCACCAATTTTAATTTTTCAAGATCTTTCCTTTCACTTTATCAGAAATACATAGAATCAGGCATATCTGACTTGATACTGATTGAGTGATAATGACCAAAAACGGTGTCTTCAAAAAATAAAATTTGTGAAGTTTTTCTGCAATCCTTTGTTATAGCATCGGATTTATTCCATATTTCAACATTGAGTATACTGTTTGAACCATTATTATAGAGAGGGCTTCAACTTGCCATGATGAATATTGCCTTCACAATCAATCTCCTACCATCGAATTTGAATTCTAAAGTAGTTATGTACCTAATAGTTTGGTTTCAAAATGCATATGAGATTCACTAAAGAACATTCAGTAAATACACTATCGTCACAAAATGAGATAAGTCAAATATATCAGAATTAGGAAACCTAAGCTTGAATCCAAAGAAAACTCCATATTTTAGAATAATGCTATAGAAATTGGTAGTAAGTATGATTAATATGGAAACATTCGCAGAGTGGAAAAAGAACTAGAAAAAAATTACATAGAAAATTCCACACCAGTAATGTTCAACCGACTAATTTGCGGAAATTTTACTTTACTTTTTTACGTTTTATTGATAAAATAATATTTTGACGTCCGAAAATAGAGATTTTGTGCTACTACAATGAGTAGAAATCAACAATCAATAAGGTCACCAAACATAAACAGAGACGTTTATGTTCGGTGATAAGGTGAGCATCCAGTGGTGCCCATGCAAACTGCATCTATTATACAGGCTGATTTTAAAATGAGTGCATATATTCAAGACATATATATGAGAGAGTCTAACAAAAATTACTAAAATATTTGATTTTTCCTAAGTCTTCACATTAACGAGAAATTTCATTTTGAAAATTGAACATAAAATGCTTCAAAATTCGAGTACGCCACTGGGAAGCAAGTGAAATCTGCGGAATCCCAGGGAATCCCCAATTCGTCATTCACTAACGTCAAAACAAGACAGTGATGCCAGATTGTTTCAGAGACGAATATCCTGATAAAAATTTGTCACAGAATGGATATGAATTGGAATAGGTTATGGAAACTAATAGAGGTGAATGTAATATGTACAGGAGCCTTATTTTTTGAAGTTTACTGAGAGAACTGTGGGGTGATTATCTCCATGGATCACGAGAGACGGAGAGAAACATGAGGGGAATGATAGAACGTCCCCCTTCCTTCAATTCGAAAATAAGGCCCCAGCGGGTAGATACAAAATTAGCAGACAATAAATAGGTACATAACATACACAAAGTTGAAAATCGACTCACCTA